CAAACGCTAGGGTGATGATGATTTTACGTATTATATTAAACAACACCGACCTTATATTTATTTATTTTTTTAAATATTGTATACCTTTCACAGAGCGTATGTAACTAGTACTAAGCGACATCATGTTCCTATTACCGAGTGGGACATCATTAGTACTTTCGACAAATACTATGAATTCAGACTTGGCTTCCGCATCTTCAGAGTATCGCCGACAATAATCAGCGACCCTAAAGGGAGCGAAAGCTTTTGCATCCTGCAATACTGGCGAATCCTCGCAATCGGAATCGCTGCATGTGCTGAAATTCAAGGACTCACCCGAATCCTTCTTTTTACGTTTTTTTACCATCTCTCCATATAAACACTTACATATACAGGGTGACTGGTGAATTACTATCAACATTTAAGGAGAATACGCGGTACATGATTCTCATTCGAATTATGTAAAAAAATAGGTACTTAATTTTTGAGCAAATTTCCGTATAAATAAATAAAGTGTGGACACGTTCCAAGTGTTCCAAGTGTGGACAACATCACGTGCTATCAACGTGCTGATACAACACCACGCCGCCGCACGCGTGTGTGTGTGTGTGTGTGTGTGTGTGTGTGTGTGTGTGTGTGTGTGTGTGTGTGTGTATACCTAATCTGTAGGGTGATCACACGATGCGTAATTAATTACATAACTTTTGGTTAACTTTACTTAGAAGTTTATTAATATTTATGTTATATTAATTTTTATTTTATCATATATGACCGTCAAATATCACGTCCTCAAGTATCGATAGTAAATCACCAGTCACCCTGTATACATATTAAGTATTTACTTCTTTACAATAAACTAACCAAAAATTTGCAAATTATAGTAGGTATAAAACTATTTAAAATAATTAAAATTTTCAAAAAGCCCGCGTCAACGTTACAATTCCCGCGCTCTTTTCTAACAATCATAAACCATAGATATTTTTTTTTGGTTATGTTCGTTCCGTTCAGAACAGGCAAAGAGAACAAAGCCCATACAGCCATGTCTTTTGTTAAACCATAGATAATAATAATACACTATCTTATACTATTTGCGCTGTAGCTTGGTGCGGGTGACATTTGCCTATATGACGTTGATATCTGTCAGTACCATATGACTAGTGATGTGCGTAATTAATTTTTATCACTAACGATACTCGCAGTATAAATAATATAGTACTTGTAAAAAATAAAAAGGGACATTATGTCTGATTGGGATCGTGACATCCATATTGACAATATAATGGACTCATCGTGAATAATATCCGTCACAGATACAGATGATGAATTTAGTGACTATTCAGATGTACCTGGTTCTGATATGAGTTTAGACGAATAAAATCATTTATATGTAAGATCTGTTGTTTCATTAATATAATTATAGACTTTTTACAATAATAATTGAACTACAGCCAATATATGTATATTTTTTTATTATAAAAAAAACATCGACTATCCATTGTAGCAGTACATCCCATCACTAAATACATCTATGGCATTACGTTAAACGCATAATACTTTGCTTAATTTTTCTTTCCATTAGATTATATTTGTACACTAGAACATTCTGGTTTGATTTAATTTAAAGTACTTCAGTAATTAATGATTTAATTTATTACGAATGTGGTACAGCTGAAATACTAAGTCATAATTTTGTAAATCGCGGCAACTTTCAAGAGTGAAACGAAACGTTACTGAAACTGTCACCCGCACCATGCTACAGCGCAAATAGTATAGAAAATATATAAACTTAACATCTGTCACTTGTCATCTGTCAAGATGTCAGATATCATAAATATAATACTTACTCTTGATACTTTAAATGAATTGGAACGTAAAAAAGTGAAAATTTATATTTTTAATATCTACATATTCTTAAGAACATATTTGAGTTTAACACGAAAAAAAATCTAAAAAATCCTCTGTCACGGAGGCCCCTAACACTTTCGAATAAATAAAAGTACTTATACATATAATATTATAATTATAGCTTTACACTTAATTATTCATTTTGTGTACACCCCAGTAGTAACAATTTTATTAGCCAACTCTCTTCTATTACGTTTGGTCGCAGAGTTTATAGTTTCCATTTATAATATTAAATATAGTGTAATAGGTATGAAGCTTCTTCAAACACACCTATAGAGTGTAAGCATGTAGTATGTACCGTACAGAGCGCGTAATATTTACATGCACGTAATGGCCGCAGATTAACAGCTCAGCTTCACATGAGCTCTTATCAAAAGTCACCGGATGGATTATAACTTCCGTTTCCGAACATGGCGGCGGCGCGCCCGTGGCTACACCGCTAAAATGCACCTGTTGATTAGCACTTTTATATACACTGAGAGAGTAAAACGTTTTACAGTTTAGCTTAAATTTTCATCTCAACAATTCTATGTTCCAAAATTATTAAGCTTTTATTGGTTACAATTTTTAAAGCACAATGTCCTACGTCTTATATTCATATCCTATCTTCCGCTAGCTAAAGTAAAATATAGTATCGATAGATGTAAGAAATTTATTTACTATAATTTACTGTTAGATCTATAGTTAATTAGCTTAGTTATATATATTTGGGATTCTAACAAAATCATGAAAAAATGTAGTTGTTTTATAAAGCCTCCTTTTAAATAACAAATTAAACCTTTACCGCGTAAAAATGAAAAACCAAACGTCATCGCATTAAGGTCACTTCGGGTGCGTTCGGGAATTTAAAGGTTCGGTTCAAATTAAATGTGTGTTCCCTAAATACATCGTATATTTAGTTTCACGTAATAAGTGTAGACACATTAACGTTATGATATAGTTGTCAGTTTGTTGTCTTGTCTTTATTTTATTGCCCAGTAGTTATCTACCACGCTTCAAGATGGCCGCTCCTCTCATAACTTGACTGCATGCCCTTGAACTTTTAATTTTTACTATTTTCGTGGATAAGACGTAATTACATTGTGTGAGGTTTTTTTTATATCTATATGTAGGTTTATCGATCACTGCCTACGATTGATTGGATGGATTGATAAAACCTACGTTATCCGCCATTTTGTAGAGGCCGCCATCTTAATATTCATAATTAAAGACTATTTTATATATACTATGGACTTTCATTTGAGTATAGTGTAGGTATATCTGAGTAAGTGAATTTCAAAATTATTTGATAATCCACAATCCACCGGTGTAATTGATACTTTTGAGGATTGGAGTAAGATTGAATAATAAGATTTATGTGAAATGTAATAAAAATATTAATTAAAAATTCATAAAATTATGCTGTTGGTTCCTGAAGTCCGTGTTCTATTGAAAAAGATATTTTATTTCTCGAAAACAAAAATAGTTAAATATCAAATTAATTAAATAATTATATCTATCGATAAATGTAAATGTTTATTATCAGAATTGAAAATGTGTTCATTATTGCATATAGTTGATGCCTGATACAACATAATACCGTATAATGCATTGGCTCCTTGAGGAGCTCGAGAGATCTCTGTCGCCACTCAGAGCCAAAAAGACCGCACCTGGGCCGGACGGCGTTCCCGGATGCGTCCTGGCTCTCGCCCTGGGCGAGTTGGCCGAGTGGTACTTAGGGATCCTCAATGGGTGTTTGAGAACGGGCCGCTTTCCGTCGCCATGGAAAGAGGGGAGGCTCGTTCTTCTCCGGAAGGCGGGAAGACCTGCGGACTCGCCGTCTGCGTACCGTCCAATTGTCTTACTAGACGACGCGGGGAAGCTCTTTGAGCGGATCCTCGCGTCCCGCGTCGTCCAACATATCAGTAGGAATGGGCCCGAGCTGAGTGAGTGTCAGTTTGGCTTCCGGGGTGGGCGGTCCACCATAGACGCCATCCTGAGGCTGAGGAGTCTCACAGATGGCGCCGTGTCTGGGGGCGGAGTTGCGTTGGCGGTGTCTCTTGACATCACCAACGCGTTCAACTCCCTCCCCTTTGGCGTCATCGAAGAGGCCCTCCGATTCCACAGACTGCCACTCTACATCCGGCGGATAATCGGAAATTACCTCCGTGGACGGGAGATCTCCTTTGTGGGGGTAGACGGCAGGGTGCATCACCACGAGGTGCGCTGCGGTGTTCCACAGGGGTCGGTCCTTGGGCCTCTCCTGTGGAACCTCGGATACGACTTCGTACTCCGCGGTGCCCTCCCGACCGGGCTGAGCGTCGTCTGCTATGCAGACGACACGCTCGTTGTAGCCCGAGGTGATGACCTGTCAGAGGCGAAGGCGCGTGCCGAGGCTGGTGCTGCCTTAATCGTGCGGCGCATTGAAATGCTCGGGCTGAGGGTGGGTCTCGGGAAAACCGAGGCCCTCCTATTCCACGGCCCTCGAGCAAGACTTCCGACGGGCGCCAGCATTAACATCTGCGGCGTCCCCGTCGAGCTCAGTCCCCGGATGAAGTATCTGGGGCTGACTCTGGACGGAAAGTGGAACTTCCGGGAGCATTTTCGCGGGTTAGTCCCGAGACTCCTCGGGACGGCGAACGCTCTCGGAAGGCTCCTGCCGAATCTCGGTGGTCCGAGCGTGGCGTGTCGGCGCCTGTACACTGGCGTGCTGCGCTCAATGGCGCTGTACGGAGCTCCGGTGTGGGCCGGTGCCCTCACAAGGCCGAACGTGGCTGCGCTGCACAGAGTGCAGCGCGTCATGGCGGTGAGGGTGGTACGGGGATACCGCACCGTCTCCCATGAGGCGGCTTGCGTGCTGGCTGGGACGCCTCCGTGGGAACTGGATGCCCAGGTTCTGTCGGAGGTGTACCACCAGCGCGCGCGAGTTAGATCCCGGGGTCCGAGTCCGGACCGGGATCGGGTGGAAGGTTGGCGGCGCTCCTTGATCGCCTTACTGCTTCGCCGGTGGAGGCGGAAACTCTCTGAGCCAGTGGCCGGGTTGCGAACCGTGGAGGCTATTCGCCCGCTCCTTAAAGAGTGGGTGGACCGCCGACACGGTTCCTTGACCTTCCGGCTGGTGCAGATCCTCTCGGGGCATGGTAGCTTCGGGAGGTATCTGTGCCACATAGTCGGGAGAGAGTCGACTGCGGCGTGTCACCATTGCAGTTGCATGGATGACACGGCCGATCACACTTTGGCGGAGTGCCCTGCGTGGGCTGTAGAGCGTCGCCAGCTCACCACAGTGGTTGGCGCAGACCTATCGTTGCCGGCTGTGGTTCAGGCCATGGTCGGTAGCGAGAGGGCCTGGGAGGCGATGGTCAAGTTCTGCGAGCACGTGATGTCGCGGAAAGAGGCCGCAGAACGTGCACGGGAAGACGACCCCTCCTCGGCGCCCTTGCGTCGACGTAGACTGGGTCGAAGGCAGCGGGCATATGCCCGCGACCTGCCTCCCCAGTGAGGAGCCTCCGGGCGTCGGTGGGGAACCGGCGTCCGGGTAACATAGGCCTGAGTAAGAGCGGCGTGTTTGGCGTTCCCGGCACGCTGCTCTTGAGTCGGAGGGGTGGTGTGGTCTAGCCACTGATACCCCTGCCGATGGCGGAGTCCCTTTCGGGACTTGTGCGTAGTGAGCGGAAGCATGGCTCGCCGTTCCCGCTCACTAGCCTACGCACTGCGCAGAGAACGCCGAGGAGTTTAGTGGGTGGAAATCCCACACGCCCCCGCCGTGTTTCCCCCGCGGCGGGAAGTCTTTGAAAGATTCTCCTCGTTAAAAAAAAAAAAAAAATGCATTGGCTACTGTTTGTGGTTACAGATGTAAGAGGTACACGCGTGTGTTAGAAAAATGTATTAAAATATTAAAATAATATATAAGAAAAGGTAGATTTATATACATATTTCGAATAAAACAATTCATTAAAACATCTAATAACATTTTATTTACTGGACATATTATAATTTTACAAAATATCGTCTTTCGTAGAGGGAAGCTATACAATATAATATACTTATCTCGTCTATAAAGTCTTTCGGTAATTGTTCCTTCAAGAGTCGCTGCTCAATAGTTTCACTATAACCACAGGATTTCAATTGAAGTTCTGGCCCAGGCCGCTGTCCGATGTCAAGTCCCTTGACTCGGCGAAGAGCAATGTTTTATAGGTCCTCCGAACACCACACGATATTCAAGATATTTACTTTTTAATTGTAACAAAATATATATTGAAAATATAATCTTATATATATTGAAAACATAACTCTTAAATAATGGAAAATATTTTAGTAAATAATATTTAGAAAGCGGGTTCCAATTTAACAGTATATTAAACACATATTTGACATGTTACCGCTTTTTTTGTACCAAAGTCTTATTCTTACTTTTTAATAATAATTCCTTAAATATTAATCAAATAATATTCTAAATACAATAAAATATATATTTTAAAGTTTTAACAGTTTTTAAACAAAGCTGACTCCAATATAATTATATAATATTAGTATATTAGACATTCGTTTGACAAATAATTGACGACACAACACTTTTGTAAGTCAAATCCTAACTATTCGATTATTTAAAACTGTAAATGACAAGATATATATTTAAATACAAATAGTATATTTAATAAACATTGTATAATTATAGAACATATATCCTAATACGTGCTATTCTAAGATTCATTTTCATAAAATACTATACAATACTAGATGCTGTCAACTGTCAGGTCGTAGAACTGTTCAATAATAGTATTTTTTGATATCGTATTCAAACAGAATCTTTTTTAATAAAACGTGTATTTATAAGTAGTGATGGTATGTTCTGAACGTACTCGTAAGTTCAACGGAACAGGAAGACATGAAGTGGGTGATTTTCTCCTCTCAAGACGGTATTAATCTCATACGACTTTATCGCTTTACCTAACAATTAGCAACCAGAGATGAAACTTCTCAGCATACCATGGATTAAACGTGCGGGTGCCGGGTTCATGGCATGGCTTTATTTATATGTGTAATATGATTTACAATATTTGTTTATTAAACGGTTTTACTTAGCTCACTCTGTTTGTTTTATTATTTTTTCATTTTTCATTTTTCTTGGGTCAAATTTAGTAATTCAAATTTCACCCTCTTCCTGTCAACCGATTAATCTGATTCTAATTTTGTATTTAATCAGATCTAATTTTGGATACACTTTGAATTTTGGTGACAATACAATTATGTTTATTCATTACCATTATAAATTCAAGATGGCGGCCTCTACAAAATGGCGGATAACGTAGGTTTTATCAATCCCATCAATATGGGTATCAATTAAAAGTGATCAACCAGTAGAATACAATTTACTATATAAAATTGAAATCTAAGATGGCCGCCGCTACCGAATGGCTGATAACATTTTTTTAGAGGAGTTGGACTACAATAAACTAACGGGCCAGAAACCTTGCAATAATGAAGCACAAATGAATTAAACAGAACGCGTAATAAAAACTAAAAACTAGAAAATAAAAATAGGTAAAAAAACTTTTTAAGTTAAACGGTTTTACGTAAAACATACATTGCAATGTTTAAGATAAATGTACTAAAAACCAAAAAATAATAAAATAGATACAGTCGTGGGAATTATAAACATATGCACAGACTTGACTAAAATAAAAGCGTGGGGCATGGGTAGTTCCTAGACAAGATTTTAGATAGATAGATATTTCCAGTGTAAGTAGAATAAACACTCTCTGTTTTTATACCTATATTATGGCTTAAAATACAGTACAGTGCTAAACGTTAAGAACCTATCAAAAAACAATAACAGTTAGTAAAACACGCTTTGGGCGTTTCTGTGTGTGTGGAACAGAATTCAAGTGAAAAATTTATAGACATTATTTAGGTTAACTATAGAAAAACTGCTAGTCATCTCCCAAGAAATTGACTTACTAGCGACATCTGTTAGCGGATAGCTAAACTCAAAGCGGTAGTTCAATCGACAAAATCGACCAAGTCGTAGTAGTACCACCACTCGCCACAAGAGGGCACTAATATTAAATATTATCAAAATCAAGAAACTTTGTTTACTATTATATTTTTAAGCGAAATGGAAGATATAAAAAACTAGTTAAAAGTTATTAAGTTCTAACACTAGAATTATTACTAACAGTAATAGAAATATTAACAAATAGCGATAAATAATATACTCGTACTTACTGCTAACAATCATTCATATTTGTGAGAAGTACAGTCTTTTTTTAGTTCATTTTTATTTATTTATTAAAAACATTAACGCTGAACGCTGAAATGTTACTTTGGAACCTAAACAAAAGTACTTAGGAATGGAAATGATCAAGTAAGTATGTAGAAATAAGGGACATAAAAGAAAGTTTATTATTCTCAAAAACACAAAGCAAATCCAATACCCATTATATTTTCTTAACATGTATGTTTATCGATATTGGATACCATCAAACTGTGTTTGAAAGATCCCAAACAATGAATATGTAACCTGAGAGGAGAAAACGTTCGAGGAATTTAAACCCACGGTCCTTATGTATAAGGTGTTATATTGAATGAATTATTATTATGTTCATTCAATAAGGAGATCGTGCCATTTATATAACTTTACCACAGTAAGTAGTATTATTATTTAAATGTTTCGTATGTTTTGCAGATTAATGATAATATGGAAAGGACACAACTAAACAAATGTTGAGGCCAGAAAGTCTGTGTCATGATTATGAATAATAGAAAAATATCTCCTGAAAGTTACTTGAGAAATAAACAGAAAATCGGTGTTTCATTAAACCATATAAAACTCAAAGACTTATTTTATTTTACAGACCTATTATGTTTTATAAAATACAGGAAGACGGTACTTACAATAACTGATGTTGCTAATCAAAAACTGTATAGAGATATGCCATTATAGAATATTTGACGTTTATTTGAAAAAATTCTCAAATTGTTTATTGTTCAATAATGAACATGCAATTTAAATTATTTCTTTGTGAACTGCTATAATTTTTCAATAAAAATGATGACTGAAGTTTGAATGAGAAGTATGATCCAGAAAACCAGATATTCTTACGACTCTTGCTATTAAAACAAATATTTTAATTTAGATGTTAAATTGATATACATATATAATTCATTATCTTGAACAAATTTGTTAAGATTAATGCTAAAGAGGCCCTATAACAGTGCAGTGACAAAATGCACGAATACATCTATTAACCCACAGGATAAAATACTCGTGAGCATCCCATGGAACACTAAGATTCAGATAAAGTGGTTATTGTTCACAAATATTTAAACTTTTTTAAAAGCGGAACGTATAAACGAAGATGAAAAACTATAAATCCATTAAAAATCGTAAGGAAAATATGCAAGATTTTGAAAACCTAAGTCTGAGTAAACCAAGGACTCAGTAAACGGCGCAGAAAAATTTAAAAAAGACACGCTTAACGTTGCGTTGGATAAGATGATTAGGGATATAAATAAAGAAGCCAAACTTATAAAACCTATAGCAAAAAAAAAAAAAATTTAATGTAATTGCAAGAAAGAAATCTAGAACATATACATATACACTATTTTCCTATTTTCTTCCTGTACTTAACATATAACTACATCACTACAGAAAATAGTTTCTTGTCAAAATGGAAATTAGTTAAGTAATTAGTTAGGGCCCCTAAGCAGTATTAGCCCAGGACCCCAGACATATAAGATCCGCCCCCGGTGATAAACATGAATACACGTCGAAGAGAACTATTGGTGCCCAGTCTAATGAGAGAAATTTTATTACCTAGAGATGATATTTAATTTTCTACACTATTACGAGCTACGTTGTCATTCAAGAAAGTTTTACAATTACACAAGAATGAGTATAGAGACATTCGATAATGTTTTACAGAAAATAAGAAGCATTCTGGCATCAAACATTTTCGGAAATCGTTTAAAATAAACGATATTAACTCTTCATTGTCAATTTCCATATTATTTTTTTGGTTTTCATAAGTAGTCTTATAGAATATAATTCACAGATTTCAGATTGGAAGGTAATTGGGAAATTTTTTAAACCCAAAAGGTATTGTAATAAATTCGTATTGTCCAAACATGATTGAATTAGAAGCCTGTTATCAGAGCGTTTTGTTTAGACAACAAAAGTTGTTTTTTAAACCACTGTCAAGACCTCCCTCCTCCCGCATCTACCATCGAAACAGCGCCCTCCACCTCAGTGACTGCCCCGATTATACCAGCGCGTCAAGAGACAAAGAGAGCCCCCCTGTCCGCTACGGGCAGTAAAGTCAAACCCCCAGCGTCGTCCGAGCAAGCTACTGCGTACGCAGTACCCATAGCGGAGGTCGTACAGATCCTGCAGGAGATCTTAGCGGCCGTCCAGGAAGGCCGAGTCAAAGAGATCATCCCGACCATCCTCAGAGCCCTGACCAAGCTCTTAGTTCGATAGAACACTGAGGATGGTCCACTGGAACGCCAACGGCCTAACTGGACCAAAACAAAAGCTGCTACGGGTACTGCTCTCAGAGAATAGAATAGACGTAGCTCTTGTCTCAGAGACGCACCTCAGACCAACGGACACTATTACCATGCCGGGATACGTGGTCTACAGAAGTGACCAGGTATCCCCCGCCGGGGTAGCCTATAGGGGATTGGCTGCCCTGGTCAAAAGGCAGGTTATTCATCAACCGCTACCAGCAGTTTCCCTCCGCTCAGCCTACGCTCTTGGCGTAGAGGTGTGCCTTGATCGACGTCCTGTCCGAGTGTTTGCCTTTTATAGGCCGCCGGGTGGCCGCCTGGAGGAGAGCGACATCCACGCACTCCTAGACCAGGCAACCCCCACCATCATCGCAGGCGACTTTAATTGCAAGCACACGGCATGGAACTCGACACACGACGACGCCAACGGGCAAAAGCTTCTAAACGACGCGGAGAGGGAAGGGTATGCAGTAATGGGCCCAGAGGTCCCAACGCACTACCCCTACCAACATACCGCCGCGCCTGACGTCATCGACCTCACTCTAGTGCAGGGCCTGAACACAGACCCATCGATCGACGTACTAGATGACCACGTGATGTCGGATCACCAACCGGTCCTGGTCACTATCGATCTGGCGCCGATCCGGAGGGAAATCCCGCCCCCGCGTCACAGACAGGACTGGCGCATCTTCGCAGACCACCTGTCGAAGAACTTGCGGTCGTTTCGAGTGGACAGCCCCGACGATGTGGACCGCCTTGCCCTCGAGCTCACCGAGTCTATCACCCGGGCACTCGAGGCCTCGCGGCTAAGCACCACATCGCACCGGAAACGACCGCAGTTGCCTGCCGGGATACGTGACATGATAGAGGACAAAAGGAGGCTGCGTAGATTATACCAGCGCACCCGATGCCCGACCATCAAGTCCCAGCTCAATGCTCTGGCGGAGAGAGTCTCAGCGGTGTTGGAGGACCACGCTGTAGACTCCTGGTACAAGACCATCGAGCGAGCTGGAGAGGACTGGTCGGGTATCCACCGCCTATGCCGCCAAGTCTCCAGGAAGTCAGAACCGATCCGGCCCCTGCTAGCGAGTGACGGCACCCCGCGTTACCGCGCAGCGGACCGAGCCGAGATCTTCGCTGACTACCTGGAGACACAGTTCCAGCCTAATCCAACCAAGGACACCCTACACGCAGAAGAAGTTGAACGGAGAGTAGACGAGTACCTCGGGCAAGCGATAGCCCCCACGGAAGACCCCATTGTAATCACCCCCGGCCAAGTGCAGCGTATGATTCGCCGCACCAAGCTCCGGAAGGCCCCCGGTCCCGATGGAATAACAAATGAAGCCCTCCGTCACCTCCCCGCTCGCGGTATAGCGGCGGTGACGAGGCTGTACAACGGAGTCCTCAGGACCGGCCACTTCCCTACCCAGTGGAAGCTCGGCCGAGTCATAATGCTACCGAAGCCGGGGAAGAACATCCTAAGACCTGGGAGCTATCGCCCTATCACGCTGCTACCCACCGTCTCAAAAGTGTTCGAGAAACTTCTTCTGCGTCATATGACGCCTCACATCACTCCACGAGTCGAGCAGTTCGGCTTCAGAGCGGAGCACTCTACCACGCTCCAGCTCGCGAGGGTCCTGCACGTCCTCTCGGTAGCTCTTAACAAAAAAGAGTCGGCCGTTGCAGTGATGCTCGACATGGAGAAGGCGTTCGACCGCGTATGGCACCCCGGTCTACTGTACAAGCTGGCCACATCCACTACTCCTCGCCGAATAGTTAGGATTGTGGCCACCTTTTTACAAGGCAGGCGGTTCCAGGTGTCGGTGGAAGACACCCTGTCTACGCCTCGCCTAGTCAGAGCCGGTGTGCCTCAGGGGAGTTGCCTGTCTCCGGTGTGCTACGCCAGGTACACGGACGACATTCCGGTGGCGGAGGGCGCGATCCTGGCGCTGTACGCCGACGATGCTGCCTTCATTACCACCTCGCTATCACCCACTCACGCGGCGACGAAGATGCAGCGGCAGCTGGATCAACTCCCCCCGTGGTTGGACAAGTGGCGCCTCTCTGTCAATATAACGAAGACCCAGGCGATATCTATGGGGATGCGGCCATTACCGCAGCCCCTTACCATGATGGGACAGCCTCTTACTTGGGCGGCGACGATCAAGTACCTAGGTGTGACTATCGATCGCCGCCTGTCAATGCAGCCCCACGTGAAGGAAGTCGTCAACAAGACGAGGGCCGCACGTGCTCTCCTGCGTCCTGTCCTGCGATCTAATCTCCCACTGCGAGCCAAGTTGGCCGTCTACAAGTCGTATATCAGAACGCGCTTGACGTACGCCGCGCCCGCCTGGTATTCCTTAGTCAAGGAAACCGGGCGTGGTCGCCTGCGCGTCCAGCAGTCGCTGGCACTGAGAACACTTGTAGGCGCGCCTCGGTTCGTACGGAACTCGACAATCACCAGGGACCTCCGCATGGAGAGCCTTGACGACTTCATAATCCGCCTGAGTCGGGCCATGTTCCGGCGGTCAGAGGCATCGAGCTTCCCGCACATAAGGGAACTGGCCCCGTACCACAGACGCCCCCCGGATAAATACGCCCTGCCGCGAGACCTCCTTCCCGCGAAGAGGAGTAGAAGCTAGACTCGACAACTGTCGGATATCGGCTGGAGGATCGACTCGCCATATCCGACAAACATCTAAACTGACGGCCGCAGGCTGATGGCAGCCTACCTGAGATAACTCTCAGGACGGCGCCTCGCCGCGGCAATTATCACCAAACGAGACACCAGGGCTGCAAACGCCCACCACAACGACCCGCCTGTTTTTACAGGCGGAGTGGAGGCCAGCTTAGGGGGCCGTTGCCCCGACAAGCTCACCTCGACCCTCCCTACAGGGGGGCCTGAGATGACCCGATGCTCCGCAACATCTTTGTTGCGGATGTCAATGGGCGACGGTAACCACCTTCCATCAAGTGGGCCGTCTGCTCGTTTGCCACCTTTGACATAAAAAAAAAATAATAATATGTCAATCATTCTGTTCGGTTGAAACCGGAAAAAATTAATAAATACCTATCAATACCTGGTTATTTAAGATGGAATAGAGTTCGCCCGGTTAGCTATACATATGTATATTACTCATGACGAAATTAACGCGGACGAAGTCGCGGGCAAAAACTAGTTTCCAATATTTTTTCAGTTTCACTGCAATCCAATTCCTTTAAGTAGTCCTTTAACGTTTTTTTTACAATTATACGTGTTCATACCAAAGATGTTAGCTTTAAGGTTCATTTTAGCATACAAATAAGTAGCTCATCTTTTAAATTGATTTCATGAATTGAATTGAATTCATGCAGACATTATTTAGGTTAACTATAGAAAAACATCATCTTCCTAGAAATTGACCTACTAGCGACATCTGTTAGCGGATAGCTAACAGATGAAATTCAAAGCGTAGTTCAATCGACCAAATCGACCACGTCATAGTAGTACCACAACTCGCCACAAGAGGGCACTAATATTAAATATTATTTAAATGAAAACACTGTTTACTATTATATTTTTATGCGAAATGGAAGATATAAAAAACTGGTTAAAAGTTATTAAGTACTAACACTAGAATTATTACTAACAGTAATAGAAATATTAACAAATAGCGATAAATAATATACTTGTACTTAGGGAGCGTTCAAGTATTACGTAACGCAATTTTCGAAGATTTCTGACCCCCCTTCCCCCCTCGAATAAATAGAGTTATAAATAGTAACAGGACTTTCTTTTATATACATATATAGATGACTTAGATTAAAACGTAAGAAATAAATTTGGCGTTAATTTCCATTTTCAATAATAAGTTTCATTGTAGAGTTGTTTTTCTCCTTGCGAAGGTCAAAATAAAGATGATTCATATTGAACATAATTTAATTATAATTTATTCAATAATATAAGTTTAGGAATATAGTCTTATGGTACATACATCACAATGATACAGTCAAAAAATATAAAAATGACTATACATAGTACAACCTCAGTGAAGCACTGTTTAAATAAAATATTATAAATTAGGTAAAAATGTTCCCCATTTCTTAAAATAACTTAGAGTACAGTTTTTTTGTAATTTTTTATACAAATTTTCAGTCCCACGTAGGTCTTGTTTTTTTGCTAAGCATAGTGTCTTCCGGTGATATGTGTATCGGATTTGTAAAATCAATTTCTATATTCTCTGGTATCGTTTGAAAAAATGCGCTCCCTCTTGTGTTATCTGAAAAGTGTTTTTATTTATTAGATATTTATTGACCATTACAGTTCTTATATTTGTGTCTATAGAAAAAGTAAAATTGACATTTTGAAAAGGCTGAGGGATAAAAATTCTTCAAATTATTGGAGTAAAAAAGGACTACATGAATTTTATGCAAGCCTTGGAAATACCTCCCTTAATTTCAAAATAACGAAGTTATTTATTTAATAATTATCTATTTTGTTATTAATTTTTGAATTTCCCCCCATTTTTGTCAGCCCGCCATATTTAGTTCACAAGATGTCACCAAAATAATGTTAAACCAAATCTTGTTAATAGTTACATAAAAGACCAATAAAAGAATCATTTACGAATTACACAAAAAACTTCTAAATTTTGTATATTTTAATGATCCTATTAAAAAGTGCCCATTCATTTAAAGGTATAGCAAAATGCATAATAAAACCAAATAAATACGTTAGAGTTCCTATTTTGTAATTGATACTGTTCTAAGACTTATTCATAACTGTAAAAGTTCAAAGTTTGTCGGACGATGTAAACCTGTATACTCGTATTAATAGTCAATGTTATATAGTTACCAGTTAAGTTGAGCCTAGCTATGATATCCTCCAGGTGTTGTTGTGTAGGGTCGTGCTGACTGTGAGCCGATCACGATAAAGACTGCGACGATGACGGACGGAGCCGCGCTTCAAGAGAGGCAGAGTGAACACCGTCT